TTGTCACACTCAGATCGTTCGAAAACCCCTAGTGGGCACACTGACCATGCGACCATGGCCGTTCGAAAACCGTACTCCGTGGACCACTCGTGTGACTTTTCTCCACTCTCTTTTGCGCGGTGTGAATCGGTGGAGATGGTGGAGAGTGCGCAAAGAGTGCAATACAGTATGAAATTACTAAATTATTTATGGTTTTTTGTTCTTCGAAACATTCGTACAACCATTAGCCATCACGGTAAGATAAAAAATTTAAATACAGCAGTGTAGGTTAGCCAGGTTTAGGTTTATTTCTATAGTGATGTATATTGTCAGAATATTGTCTTTAAATATAAATAAAGCTTATTAAGCTTTTTGTATTTTATAGGTTCTGAAATTTTCTTACGAGATACGAGGCACGTTAAAAGTCACGAATCAGTAACAATTTGTGAAAAAAAATGGAAAATTTAATCCCGGGTCGTCATATTTTATGCATGGATATTAAAAAAAATATACAAAAGGATGACAAGGGAAATGTCTATATATACGATGTTAAAGGTAAGGAGTAATAAATAAGTTTATAAATTTCCTTAGGCCTGGTGCCCACGATGCTAGAAATCGATCCGAGTTCTCGGACCGAGAAATATATAGCCAATTAACTTTCCAGATAACTAAATTATAAATTAATAATTACTAAATTAATTAATTAATTAATTACTAAATTTATTAATTTATTATTATTTTGCTGAGAAGCAATTATAGCTAATGTCGAAATACGCTTTCGATCATTTTGTACAACATATGTAGGCACAACACACATGTAGTATGTCACATTGAGCATTCTTCCATGGCTGTTCGAAAACTCCTCTCGATACCAACTCCACTAACCCCACCAAGCCCATCCACCACAGCCACTTTCCGTCGTGGACTTTCAGTGTTTTCGAACGCACCCCTGTGTCAGTGATAGAAATTTTGACGAGCAGCACGCACCACGGGAGGGGATACGCACCACTCACGCGACAGTGTCCGTGAGGCTCACGAACACGGTCGCGTGAGTGCGTGCGTATCCCCTCCCGTACTAATATGTGTTGTTCGCGACTAAAGCCCATTCTACAATTGCGTAAGCGTAGTCGTGAACATAAGAGTCAACCAATCCGAATGTTTTATTCACTGATTGCTTTACTCTGATTGGTTGTCGTAATCACTTACAACCACTTACATCCACGTTCACGCAATTGTAGAATGGGCTTAAAGTTTCTATCACTGCTCTGTGTCTACTGATTGTTTCTCGCCTGTAGTGAGACAAGAACAGATAGTGTTGATTATCTGTCTTTATCTAACATTAAGAATCATGGACATTACTTCTTTACTCACTGAGACAATTTGTGCACATTGGCTATGTAGTTTATGTGCACGGTTGGTTAGAGGCGCTGTAAGCCATTTCAGTTTAGAAATCCTCTAGTAAGAGATGTGCAATCTTTGAGTGCGACGGGATTGATCCTGGCCGACTTTGCAAGAATATGGCGAAACCAATGAAATAATCGTATTTTATTGATAAAGGTGCGGTAAAGATAAATTAATTAAAATTGAAGATAAATTACATAAACTGAATTTAATAAATTTATAGATATGTAAAACAGAAAACCCTTTTGCTGCAGAATTTTTACAATTTGGAACGCAGCAGCCTGACATTATATTTTATTTCAGATATCTCCTATGTGAATATGACTATGTTAAAATATTTTCAATTCTCACATGTATTTTATAATTTATGTGAAATAATATTTTATTATAACATTGCATTAATATTTCCTTAATTATTAACAATTTATATATTATATATATATATATATATATATATATATATATATATATATATATA